GAGTAGTGTGTTATTATTATACTATAATTAGAATGTGAACAATACTAATATTAATAATAATAATGATAGTAGTGTTCTGACCCGGGCAGCAGGAGAGTAGATGTTGAGGTAGAGACAGTCCTCACTGGAGGAGGAAGACTCTTCATCACCGGGCTGAATACAGCTGGCACTGAATCAACAACAACAACAACAACAACAACATTGTTATTTAATCAACAGAAAAATATATCAACACAACTCGACTTTATTTAATTTATAAATCTGGTTGGATCAAACCATCTGAGAGCAGCTGATTGGTTACCGGGGCACGGTGGCGTTCCAGGTTCCCGTCCAATCGGCCGCCTGCGCTGCTTCAAAGCGCAGCGATCCTATTGGTGGACGCGCGTAGGGAACACCCAGGAACCGAACCACCGTCCTCCTATCAGAGCCCACGGAGGTCTCCACGGCAACGCCACGCAGGATCCCATGGCCCGGGATGGAAATGGACGTAACCAACGGCAACCGCTCTGAAAGACAGGCGACTGCTTTGAGATCGGCTGCTCTCTGATTGTCTGTCGTCTGCTCTGTGATAGGCTGCCCTTTGATTAGCTGTCTTCTGCTCTGTGATTGGCTGTTCTCTGATTGGCTGTCTTCTGCTCTGTGATTGGCTGCTCTCTGATTGGTTGATCTCTTCTCTGTTATTGGCTGTTCTCTGATTGGCTGTTCTCTTCTCAGCTATTGGCTGCTCTCTGATTGTCTGCCTTCTGCTCTGTGATTGGCTGTTCTCTTCTCTGATTGGCTGTTCTCTTCTCTGTAATTGGCTCTTCTCTTCTCTGTTATTGTCTGTTCTCTTCTCTGATTGGCTGCTCTCTGTTTGGCTGCTCTCTGATTGGCTGTTCTCTGATTGGCTGTTCTCTTCTCTGTTATTGTCCGTGATCTTCTCTCTGATTGGCAGCCATTTGATTGGCTGTTCTCTGCTTTGTGATTATCTCACCTGTCTTCAGGTACACCTGGGAGGCGGGCTCTCTGATGACCAGCCTGCAGGAGGAGGCGGGGCTGGGTGCATTGGGGGCGGAGCTTAGTCCACAGGTGGAGGTGTCTGGGTAGAGGACGCAGCGGGTCGCCCCCCCCTTCTCACTGAGGGACACGCCCACACAAGACTCCGCCTCCTGACAGGCTGAAACAGGAAGTGTGATGATGTCACCTGAGGCAGGTTAAAATTACATAACTGAGGTGTTGTTACTGTGGTTACCATGGAGACACCAATCCCTGGTGGCGTCCCGGTCTCCCGCGGCGATGTCACGGCTCAGGTGGATGATGTCATAGGTGGAGAGGGAGGAGTCAACGAGGAGGGAGGAGCCAGAGAGGAGGCTCCACTGATCCAGGGACACTGACACACACACATTACATAAATCATAAAACTTAGTGAATACTTAGTAAATATACCAGTAAATATTTGGTGAATACTACCAGTAAATACTTATTGAATATACCAGTCAATACTTAGTGAATACTACCAGTACATACTTAGTGAATACTTAGTAAATATACCAGTCAATACTTAGTTAAAACTTAATAAATACTACCAGTAAAACTTAGTAAACACAAAGTATTAGTTATCAAATACTACAATTATACGTTACTAAATACACTAAAATGTTAAAATTAAATACTACAAGAATAGTTAGAAAATATTACAAATATTCATATTAAAAACTAAATAAAATAGGATATTTAAAGCCATAATTGATTTATTAAATATTAATAGTAGTAACAGTAGCGGTAGCAGTCTAGGTAAGAATGTAGTATTAGCAGTAGTTTAAGTAGTTAGAGTAGTTTTAGTAGTAGTAGTATTATTGTGTCAGTAGTAGTATTAGTAATATGAGTAGTTTTAGTAGTAGTAGTATTATCGTGTCAGTAGTAGTATTAGTAATATGAGTAGTTTTAGTAGTAGTAGTATTATCGTGTCAGTAGTAGTATTAGTAATATGAGTAGTTTTAGTAGTAGTAGTATTATCGTGTCAGTAGTAGTATTAGTAATATGAGTAGTTTTAGTAGTATTGTGGTGTTTACCGTTGTTGGTGGTTTCTGGCAGGTTGAATGGAGGACAGAGAGCCGGAGAGGACGTCCACTGGTTCACTGAAACACAACGAGTGTATAAACATCTGTAGAATGTGTATAATAAG